GGGAGGGGAGGGGGACTTCTAAAGGGCTTTTGAAGAAAGATTTCCAAAATTGTAGTCTTTCTATTTTGAGAAAGATTGTGTCATCTGGTCTCGTGAAAGAATTGGTCTTTTGCATACAAGACCAAAGGACCAGTTCAAAAATCAAAATTTCTCGTAATAGTAATTGTTTTTGAGTCCAAAATAGAGGCATAACTTTCTGACTAACCTAGCGTATTTAATGCCAAGATTTTGATACACCTTTCAACTGTTTCTAAATAACAAGTGGAAGTACATAGATTCGCAGGTCTTTAGTACTATCAATTAGTATCATATAATCAAAATGGAAACTAGACATGAAATTTTCAGTTCGGTTAGGGTTTTAAAAAAACATAAATAAAAATTGTGCGCTCAGATTATATGTTTGATTGGTATTAATATTCCGAAGAAATCTATGTATGCAGATTATATGTTCACATCAGACCATCTACTATGGCCATAAAACTAAGGATGACTAAATAATTACAACGTACATAAAAACACATGTAATTAAATATATTCATTCGATTGATGCATGTAAATGCTGAACACATGCATGAGTTATATATTCATTCCTGAGAATCTAGGTCTTTCCGCTTGTTTTTTCAGTAAACGGTTCAAAGGTGTCAAACTCTTGGCTTTAAATACGATTGGTACGTAGTGGTAGCAAAATGGTAAAAAAAAAAAAAAAAAAAAGTTAATTATCCATATTATCCACTTAAAATATAGGTTGGATAATGAATTTTTTAAAAATAGGTCAAACATGGATAAAAATCATATTATCCATTTAGAAAATGGATAACCAATGAGTAACCACAGGATAATTAATGGGTTTAACTTTTACATTTGTAAAGCCTCAAATTGGCTAGCGTCTGGTGTCTTGCGTGACAGGAAGGTGCCCCTGAAATTGAAAGGTAAGTTTTATAGAGCGGTGGTTATTAGACTGGCCATGATGTATGGTGCTGAGTGTTGGCCAGTCAAGAATTCTCATATCCAGAAGATGAAAGTTGCAGAAATGAGAATGTTGAGATGGATGTGCAGACATACTAGGTTGGATAAGATTAAGAATAAAGATATCGGGGGAAGGTGGGCGTGGCTCCCATAGAAGACAAGATGCGGGAAGCTATAGGCTTAGATGGTTCGAGCACGTGCAGAGGAGAAGCATGGATGCCCCAGTTAGGAGGTGTGAACGGCTGGCCTTGACGGGTGTGAGAAAAGGTAGAGGGCGACCAAAGAAATATTGGGGAGAGGTAATGAGGCAGGACCTGACGCGACTTCAGATTTCCGTGGACATGACCCTTGATAGGAAGTTGTGGAGGGCGAGCATTAAGGTTGTAGATTAGGAAGTATGAGGCTAGCGTATGTTTGTCTTAGACTGCTAGTGGCTTCGAATGTGTCCATATTAATTCTTTAGGACTTCAGGTTAGATCGTAGGAGACTAGTCCGATAGTGTAGTGTCTTAGGGTGCTAGTGACTCTTGTGGTATCCATATTACTATATTGTGTCTATAGTATTGTACCACTGTTACTGCTTATTGTTATTGCTTTCTCTCTATTTTCTGGTTATTACGTTACTGACGTTATCTCTCTTTCTTTCTTGCTTACTCTGATATTACTGCGCAACTGTCTCTTTCATCGTTTTTAGTCGATGGTCTATCGGAAATAGCCTCCATACTCCGAAGGGTAAGATCTGCGTATAAACTACCCTCCCCAGATCCCACTTCACTACTAGAAAACGAATTTATTGGAACGATTTTTGGGAAACGGTTCTGTAACTATTACAGTATCATATTTTGGAATGGTTTCAACCGTTCCAATAGAGTCAAAAGGCTTCTGGCACACTTCTGAACAATAATCGTTCCAATAGTGTAGTAATCGTCACCATAAGTATAGATATGGAGATGGTTTTGATACGCGATACAATAGGGTTATTTGTGGGAACGAATTTGTGAAATAAAAAGCTATTGGGATGGTTTAATTTTCCCTCCTTACTTTCCCTCCTAGGTATTTATTAAAAAGCAAAATAATGGACCCCACTAATATTTTAATAACTCTAAAACACAAAACTAACCTAGAAGTGATCGACTTCAATCTCAGACAGCGATTCCCCCAAAATCTCGAACATCCCTCTCCCTGTTCATCAACGTAGAACACACCGACAAACTCTGGCGACCAACTCCGGTGAAGGACAATAATTTCCGGTGAAGGGCGACCATTATCGGCTAACATATCACAATCTCCGAGGTAGGCTTTTGCTTTTTTACTCTATTCGATGTTTGCTATTACTGTTCGATTTTGCTTTCTTCTTTACTAGTCTGAAAAATTATTTCATTGCTCCTTCTATTTTCTTTCTTTGATAATATTTCTGATAAACCCATTATTTTGCTTCTGTTTTGTTTGTATTATGCAATATATTTTGTGATTTTTAGTTTGCGAAATTGGGGGATTTACTTGTTAGGTTTTGATTTTGTGTTAGAAATCATGAGATTTGATGTTTCCTATCGATGTTCGATGTTCGTTGTCTTGTTCGTTATTCTGAAAATCGCTATTCTATATTATACGTGGGAATGCATGGAGTAAATTTTGTCGACAAATGTTATTCAAGAAAGCGAATACTTGAAGATATCAGAGGAGTTGATGGGGCTCCCTCGGGCATCTCCCAAATTGGAAATAATACGAGAACCGCCAAAACAAACCAAGCGAGTGCTCTACTGAGATGGCCGGACCACTTTCTCACTTTTTATCATCGACTTGCCTCATGTCTGTAATTAGTGACTAGCATAGAGGGTCCTAGGTTATTTATGTTGAACTGCGTGTTACCTTGGTTATTTGTATGTTTGGTTCCTCATCCAGAAAATATAGTTTTTGCCCACGGTATTTGACTAACATCATTTGATGATCAATTAATTAAATATGCTCCTTTGCCAATCTTTTTTATGCTAAGAGAGGAAGTTCGTGTACGCTTTTACTCTCCATTTTAAGTTAAGAATTGGTTAATTTTCGTTTAATTTTTGTAAGATAATCGCTTGACTAGTTTCAAGTTGTGACTGATTAAATGAGGCACAAACTCTTAGTAATTTCTATTTTATAGAAGAGCCATCCCATGGTCGACCAAGGTTATAATTGACATCTAGTTCAGTCAATTTCCTATTTGATATATTGAACAAATGCTCTAAAAATCCTTAATTTGATTGTAGATACTAACGTCATTACTGCACATCCCATGATACTACGAGTCACTTATTTGTACTGCTCGAGTAAAGAAAGGTCTTATGTCTGTAGCAGCACGGGCTCTTTTAATTATGAGTTATCTCGTTGGACTCATGTTTTACTACTTCTTTTAGCTCTGTTACAATCCTTAGTTGTCAAATAGGGTTTTACCATTTTGGCACCATTGGCTAACACATTCAAATTATGTTATTGTGATACCACTACGTTATTATATGTTCCAATTATGTGGAGTGTTGTGTTTCGTAGAACTAGAAGTACGTATCTAACATTTCACTACCTGGTGAAAATGATGTTCTTGGGCTAGGCTAATTTCCAGTCAGCTATAGAAATTCAACTAAGTCAATATTTTTCTTTTCTATCAAGAAAACTATGAATCTCGACATTAAGGTATACAAAGAATGAACTACTGGTAGCAGTCTTATTCAGTTAATACATATCCATAGACAGCTTGGAGACAAAAACTTCGGTTGAGAAACTACAATTACAGTGTTTGAGATGTGAAAAATTTGGGATTATTAGCTCTTGCAGAAGTTGTTTCTATACTGTAAAACAATGTTTTAGCTCATGACTTGTGTGTCACAGAGTCCATTTAAAGTGTAACACATCTACTATCTCACCTTTGCTTGTTTCCTTTAATGTTCAATAGGCATTCTCTCATTTGCATTAAGTGTCATTTGTATCTCGTTTGATATCAACAGGTATTACCATCATTTAGAACCTTGGATGTTTCCTTGCGACAACAGTTTAGATCTTTGTCAATACCTGCCAATTCAACTTTACTTGCTGGGAAATCTAAGCTCATGTATCTTTTGAGTATTCATGTCTTATTCATTAATTGTTCGTTCATTTAGATAATGAGCATGTGTATATGTATATGTGGTAAATAGGTCTATAAGTTTTCATTTGTCATTATTCTTATAGTTAATATTTTTTTCATTTGACGAATCATTATTTATACTAACATTTCACACTTTTTCCATGAAATCTGCAGGTAGTTATCCCATTGCACCAGCTTAAGGCAATTAATCCTTCATCAAGCAGGACCAATCCGTCCGAAAGATATGTCCAGACTATATCTGTCGATAACCTGAATTACTGGTGTATACGGTCAAAATCATATGCCTCCAATTTTGTAGGCTCGAGAAGTTGCATCGAGGACAAAAGTTCGATATAGACCAAGCTCGAGCTCGAAGGTAGAATAAGAGGCTCGAAGATCTAAGTGCTCGAGGAACATCGGAGCCAAATACGACCGACTCCGAGACAATTCCGTTATGAGTTTGTTACAGAAGGACAAGATTCCCGCCACATTCCCAAGATCATGGCATAAATTTCGGAATAGATTTGTACGAATTAGTTCAAATCCGTACTAGGCAGTTATACAGTTGTCCCAATAAGATTCCTTACTATAGATAGAAATGTACCTTATGTAGGGTTCCCCTATTATATAAAGAGGACCCCAATCATTTATAAACATCATCTAATCATTGGCAAAAAAATATACTCTCTAGTTTTCGTTCATTGTTCATCAGAATTATCCTTTAGCTTTATTATTCTTTCTTTATTGTTCTTGACCAATCTCGAGGTCAATCGGGCTCGAGGTCGAGATTGACTCATTTACTGGTTTGGTCTTACTTATTTCCTTCATCTATACTTCAGATTTCTTGATTATTAATTAGTATTGAACTAAATCACGTATCTTTAAAACCATAAATCAAATTTAGTTGTTACTCGTGTTTTTGAGGTAAATAGTTTGGCGCCCACCGTGGGGCTAAAGATAATAGTGATTATTTCATTACTGATTCTCATAACACACGTTATTTTACACTTTTTCTTGTCAAGAATTTTTTGATTCTCAGGATTAAACATGTCGAACTTGCAAAACGCACATGTTCATGACAACAAAGGTATTAGATTTCATGGGGAAAACAACAATGTAGGGGTCGGTGTACCACCGATAAACCATGGGAAAGTGCCAAATATAGAACCAGTTGATGTTAGTTCACATATTGCTTTGAATGCATATTTAGGCACATACCCCAAAGGAAGTGTATGCAGGGAAGCCCATTCCGGGGGCCAAGGAACACAAGGTATAGGAGAGGGGGGAGTCAGCCTCCAAGTGATATTCGAAATGTTGTAAGCCTAACAGATTGCCATCGCTCGACTTCAGAGTCAGAATAAAACTNGGGGGGGGGGGGGGGAGTCAGCCTCCAAGTGATATTCGAGATGCTGCAAGCTCAACACATTGTCATCGCTCAACTTCAGAGTCATAATAAAACTCTGAGTATAGTTGAACCGGAAAACACTCGACGTGTTGAACCTATGCTAGAGAGGTCAAACAAAAATGGCTTGGGGACTGACCCCACTATTATGAGGATGCTCGAAGAGCTCACCAAGAGAATCGAGTATGAGGAAACCAAGATTGAGAACAATGACAAAAAGGTGGAGACTTATAACTCTTGTGTTGATAAAATATTGGGGGCACCTCCGGTCTTGAAAGGTTTGGATGCCAAAAAGTTTATACAAAAACCATTTCCTCAGAGCGTGGCTTCGATGCCCATTCCTAAAAAGTTTCGCATGCCTGATATACCTAAATATAATGGGACAACCGACCTAATGAGCATATTACCTCATATACTTGTGGAATTAAAGGAAACAACCTGAATGATGATAGGATCGAGTCAGTATTGTTGAAAAAATTCGGGGAAACTTTGTCGAAAGGAGCCATGATTTGGTACCACAACTTGCCCCCAAACTCTATCGATTCGTTTGCTATGTTAGCAGACGCCTTCGTGAAAGCACATGTCGGGGCCAAAGGTGGAGACGAGGAAATCAGATGTCTTTAAGGTAAAACAGAGGAACGACGAGATGTTAAGGGAGTTCATGTCTAGGGTTTAGATGGAGTGAATGAAATTACCACCGGTCTCGGATGACTGGGCAGTACAAGCTTTTATGTAGGGTTTGAATGAGAGGAGTTCAATCATGTCTCGACAATTAAAGCAAAATCTGATCGAGTACCCAGCTTTGACGTGGTCGGACGTACATAACCGTTACCAATCAAAGATACCAGGTGGCCCAGGCCTATACAAACCGATCCCTCTCAAAGGAATCCAAACTTGATGTGTAAATATCATGGCACACATGGCCATAGAACCGAAGACTGTAGGTAGCTAAGGAAGGAGGTAGATTGGTTGTTCAATGAGGGTCACCTTCGAGAATTTCTTAGTGATCGAGCTAAAAATCACTTTAGGGAGAGAGATATGCAAGCAGAAAAAATGAGCAGGAAGAACCACAACATGTAATCCACATGATCGTTGGTGGTGTCGACGTCCCAAAAAAACCTGTGTTCAAACGCACCAAGGTGTCGATCACCAGAGAAAACCAGACTCGGAGCTATGTGCTTGAGGACGCCCTATCATTCTCAAAAGGCATATCTCAGTCGCACAATGACGCCTTGGTAATTTCTATTCTCTTAAATAAAATTCAAGTTAAACATGTTCTAGTAGATCCAGGTAGCTCAGCAAACATAATCAGATCAAGGGTCGTAGAACAGCTCGGCCTACAGGATCAGATTGTACCTGCATTCCGAGTCCTAAATGGATTCAACATAGCAAGCGAAACAACAAAGGGAGATATCATCCTTCTAGTAAATGTATCCGGGACCATAAAAGATACAAAATTCCATGTCATCGAAGGCGACATGAGGTATAATGTGCTCCTCGAGAGACCATGGATACACAACATAAGGGCAGTACCTTCAACTCTTCATCAGATGATGAAGTTCCCAATAGAGGATGGTGTGAAAACGGTTTACGGAGATCAACACACTACAAAAGAAATGTTTGCAGTCGACGAAGTGATGCCGATACCAGAGCCCTTGACCTAAGAAAAATTGAACAACAAAGGTAAGCATGCAGCCAAATAGCAATCACCGATGCCAGTCCTGGTCGAACGGAGGAACAGGTAATCGAAGAAGAAGAAGAAGAAGAAAAGGAGGATTTCCTTACTCCTCGAACCTTCATTGTTCCCGAAGAATCAGACGCAACCAAATCAGCAATCGAGGAACTGGAGCAGGTCATACTGATCGAATACATGCCCGAGAGAAAGGTACCTGGAAACGGGATTAACCCCCGAACTCAGGAAAAAAACTCATTCAATTTCTTATTGATAATATGGATTGCTTTGCTTGGTCCCATTTAGATATGACAGAGATTCCACCGGAAATAACAATGCACCGGCTAAGCCTCGACCCCAGGTTCAAACTGGTAAAGCAAAAAAGGAGGCCCCAATCCGAGGTGAAACATGCATTCATAAAGGACGAGGTAACCAAACTTCTTAAAATAGGGTCTATTCGGGAGGTAAAATACCCCAAATGGTTAGCCAACATAGTTATAGTTCCTAAAAAAGAAATAAACTTACAATGTGCGTAGATTACAAGGATTTAAACAAAGCATGCCCAAAAGACTCTTTCCCATTTCCTAACATCAATCGAACGATCGATGCCACGGCTGGCCATGAGATTCTAACTTTTCTCGACGCCTACTCCGGGTACAATCAAATTCAGATGAACCCCGAAGACCAGGAAAAGACCTTATTTATCACTAAGTTTGGAATGTACTGTTACAATGTAATGCCCTTCAGGCTACAAAATGCTGGAGCTACATATCAACGCTTAGTTAACAAGATGTTCGAAGAACATATAGGTAAATCGATGGAAGTTTACATTGATGATATGTTGGTTAAGTCCCTGCGCGCAGAGGACTATTTAACTCATTTGCAGGAAACGTTCAAAATCTTGAGGAAATACAACATGAAGCTTAAGCCGGAAAAATGTGCCTTCGGAGTCGGCTCAGGTAAGTTCCTCGGCTTCATGGTGTCGAATCGAGGTATCAAAATTAACCCCGACAAGATCAAGGTCATCGAGGATATCACGATCGTGGATAGTGTGAAGGCCATGCAAATGCTAACAGGACAAATAGTCGCGTTGTGTCGATTCATTACGAGGTCGTCAAATCAAAGTCATAGGTTCTTTTCCTTTCTCAAAAAGAAAAAGGATTTCGCATGGACCCCAGAATGCCAGTAAGCCTTAGAAGAATTAAAGCGATACTTATCGAGCCCACCTTTGCTTCACACCCCAAGGGTATATGAAAAGCTTTACTTATATTTGGCGGTGTCTGAAATAGAGGTAAGTGGGGTACTCGTTCGAGAAGAGCAAGGTACGCAATTCGCTGTCTATTATGTAAGCCGAACTCTAGGAGATGCTGAAACTAGATACCCTCACTTAGAAAAATTAGCACTTGCATTGATAAGGGCATATAGAAAGCTAAAGCCACCACTTACCCTCTTCGAAATGTTTTGCATAAGCCCGAACTATCAGGCTGGTTGGCTAATGGGTCGTCGAGCTTAGCGGGTATGGTATCGAATATCAACCCTGAACGGCCATCAAGTCTCAAATCCTAGCTGACTTCATGGTTAATTTTACGCTGACCCTTGTACCCGAAGTGGAGAAAGAACTCCTGCTGATATCGGGTACATCATCGGGGGTATGGACCCTTTTTACGGATGGTGCCTCGAATGTGAATGGATCCAGGCTTGGTATTGTCTTGAAGCCACCTACAAGTAGTACCATTAGACAATCTATCAAAACTTCTAGGTTGACTAATAATGAGGTCGAGTATGAGGCCATAATTTCAGGTCTCAAGCTAGCTAAGAGCTTGGGGGCAGAAGTCATTGAATCCAAGTGTGATTCACTGTTAGTGGTAAACCAAGTAAACAAAAGTTTTGAAGTTAGGGAGGATAGGATGCAACAGTACTTGGATAAGTTACAGGTAACTTTGCACCGCTTCTAGGAGTGGACCCTGGATCATATGCTTCGAGAACAAAATAGCGAGGCCGATGCACTTGCAAATTTGGGATCCTCGGTTGAAGAAAATGATATCATCCCGGGGACTGTCGTCCAGTTATCGAGGTCAGGGGTCAAGGAGGGTCATGCCGAAATAAATTCTACGAGCTTGACTTGGGATTAGAGAAATAAGTATATCGATTATTTGAAAAATGGAAAGCTCCCATCGAATAATAAAGAATCGAGAGCTCTACAAACCAAGGTCGCTAGGTTCACATTGGATGGAGATGGAATGTTGTATAGGAGGACTTTCGATGGACCATTGGCAGTATGTTTAGGGCCTGGGGACACCGATTATGTTCCAAGAGAA